GTCAGGTTTGCGATGTGGCCACCATTCTAAGTAGCTTGCCATCACAGTGCACATTGATTTCATGATATTAGGTGGTTGGAGGCAATCAGCCACAGGAAGCCTTGCTTGACTTGGTCAGTTTCGTGCTAGTTGGCACTCACCGGTCAGCAAGGAGTATCTGAAAACTTGAAGGAACTCGTGTCCTTTCTGAGATTTAAGCCCGCGTCACCCAGTGCTGCAGTCAGAGACGTTACCACTGAGTCAGCTATTCAGGCTGGCGATTGACCTCCTGCAGGATTGTAGTAAGTATTTGGATTTGACACTAGTAACTAGTGTGACGTGTCTAGTCCTTTCTTATTTTGGTGCAGATTGAATTCTATCAGTCGAGTTTGCAATGTGGACACCATTTTTGGTAGTTTGCACTTGGAATTCTTAATGTTTAGAATTCTTTAGCTGTACGAAGATAGTGGCACTGAGCATTGCATCGGGTCCAAATGGTTTGAATGGTCTACTATCTCATCTTATAACCTGAAGGTCCTGGGTTTGCCCATTTGTTTCAGGGTGCATACTAAAGAAGAGTTCAAAACCAGGACGAAACAGATGTCCAATAGTCCCACGTTTCCCAGTAGTTCTCTAAGTTATATCAACTCGTGATCACACCTGCAAGTAGGTCATCTTATCCCATCATCCTATTGTATGATTAGTTATGTGCAATTGCATGTAGTACTGCTATAACGCTGAACTATTCTCCAGATTTTTTATCTCACTGTCGGGTCAACTAATCTAGATTTCACTAGGTTTTTTTTGTGCTGCTCCGCTTGTCTGACTGACTGGTCTCGTTCTACGGTTTTCTTCTATGTATTCAACCTGACAATAATTGCAGCAGGGTACTAGATAAACTAAATTGTTCTGTTTAATCGGCTCCATAGGCGGGATCCTTTAGCGGACAAAGCTTCTTTCTAATTGAGTTTGTGGATGATTGAATGCCTGCCACATTTATTCCTTCCTGCATTGTTAAGAACTCTCCGTAAGGTTACCGATATTCCTTAAGTTTCCAAAGCTTCTCTTATATGACTCACGTCTTATCTTAGATTTTTCTCGGTACTACTTAGTGTTTGTGCTCTATTACTTAAACATTTCACCGATCCTATTTTTACTGATATATAAGTCATCATCAAGCAAAGTAACATCACGTTATTCCCCGGACGGCGTTGTAGTGTTCGTACTGGTAACCGTTGCGTCCATAAACACCAACATAATCAGTCAACAGAGAATGTAGTGCGGCTGAAAACTGAGTCATAAGGGAGAAATAACTAGGTGGATGGCGACTAGGAGTGGAATTAAGGATGGCTGTCATGACCTTTTGGAGTTCAAAACAACGGTTACTGGGTTCGAGCCTTAGTTGGGTCACCAAAACTCACTGCTGACGAGTAGTCCTACATAGGAAGTGAAATGTGGTTCATCCTGGATTCCACCAAATTACTCAGAGTTGAATCCTCAGACAACATCGTCGAAGCATCGATACAAAGAGGCGACCTGTCAATAGATGCTTAAAACTTTGCTCTAATCAATTAACATGAAACTCTGAAATGAATCAAACAAGGGAAGAGAGAAGGATTAAATTCTCACGTGCTTCCTTTAGCATCATCGTCATCATCCCTTGTACAAGTTGGAATTCAGCAGGATTCATTCTCCTGTTGTTGTTGTTATGTTTTTTTTATGTTCTTCCCTGTTAGACATAATGATGCGAAACCCGGAAGTATTTTTTTCCTTTTTGCGTGATATTTGTTAGATTCTTTGCAGGAAAAAGAAAATCCGAGACAAGCGAGACGTTTTTTGTTGACAGTATGACAAAACACAAAATGATTGAGCAAAAAATATCCTTTTCGATAAATTCCTTTTCTGGCTCTACAATTATATATGTGTTTATATACATAGAGTATTCTAGAATAGTATTCAATAGCAAAAATGTCGATTTGTAAAGTAAGATCACAATGCAATTATAGTTCACTAAAGATGCTTAAATTATAATAATAAAGATATAATAGCAAATAGAATATCAACTAAAATTAGGAAAATTCCACAAAAATTCAGGATCATTCAAACCTAGATAGCCAAGCGGGTAAGGATAATGTCTGAACTAACTTCTTTTGGACGCACAAATTAGCTTTCTTAATTAATATGGATCCCAACAGCCTCAGCAATATTTAGTAGTCGAACTCTTAAGGTGAAATCGAGATTTGTTGGTATGCGGTAAGTGACCCTGAAAGCATGGTTAACATCAATCTTGTCTTCTGTATCCACAAGATGAGATAGAATAGCTCTGCGAATAGATTTTGTTTGTCCTTTACTTAACCACTAGGCAGGGTGATGTTCGGAAATTCGACGAGAAACACGCCTAATTGTACGGTCTATGTAACTGGCTCATTCCACAGGAGCTGAGGCTATTGGGATCCATATTAATTAAGAAGCCTAATTTGTGCATCCAAAAGAAGTTAGTTCAGACATTATCCTAACCCGCTTGGCCATCTAGGTTTGAATGATCCTGAAGTATTTTGTGGAATTTTCCTAATTTTAGTTGATATTCTATTTGCTACTATATCTCTCTTATTATTATTATAATTTAAGTATCTTTAATGAACTGTAATTCCATTGTGATCTTACTTTACAAATCGATATTATTTCAAAAACACTAATATTGTTATTGACTACTACTATTCTAGAATATTCTATATATAGAAACATATATAAATATAATTGTAGAGCAAAACGGGGAGGAATTTATCGAAAAGAATATTCTTTGCTCAATTATTTTGTGTTTTATAGATGTCAAAATGAGTATGATAAAAAACGAAAATTGTAAGAGTAAGACTTCAAATCATAGTTCACATTGGCAAACAAGTAGAAACTGTCGCTTGCTGATTAAAATTGCACAGAAAACGATTAGGAAGGTAGGATTCTTAGAATTTGAGATTTCTAAAAATCGAATTATTGTTTTCCAAATGTTTCATCTTATGGAGAATTATTAGAAGTTAGAGTGTGCCGGATAGCTCTTTTTGTGATTACATGCATTATAAACTTCAGTAGGGAGCACTGTCTACCTGTGAAATCTATCAAGTTAGGCAGGAGAAAGCAAATTCACCGATGGTTTTAGACGTAGGTGACACTGTGTCACATGTGTTTACAGAATGTAGAATTCACGGGCTACTGAATTCCCACACTCAGTGTATCTGAACGGGAGATAACTTTGCTAACCTCATCATTTGTGTGTGTTCTGAGTTTAGTCGGTCACTTGAAGCATGAGGGGTGCACACCGCTGAAAAATCCAAACCATAAATGAGAAACTGGCCATCTATTGATGTTTCATTTCAAATAATTCTTTAATCACTGTCGATTCTCTACAAACTCAAGAATGAAATTACATTCTGTTATGTGGTAATGCCATTAAAAGGAAGTTCAAGCAGTTAATTCCTTCATCTATCTATGCAGCATCATTTAAACAACAGGCGACAGCATGGATGAAGATGTGAAAACTAAAATCGAAAAGGCAAGATAGACATGCATCACTGTGAAATCACTTTTGGAAATTCAAGTATTGGTTTTTAGGGATTTCATCATCAGCTGACATTGGTTAGAGAACCATTGAAAAACCTGGGAGCCCTTGACAGCTGTTTCGTCCAAGTTTTGGACTCTTCATCAGTACGCACCCACACCACGTGGTTCGAACCCAGGACTTTCTGGTTACAAGGCGAGCTAGCTCGTAAACCACTAAGCCACTGGGATTCGATCCAGCCTAATGGTCTACGAGATCGCCTTGCATCATCAGTCAGCACCGACACCAAGAACCATATGCATGACACTAGATACTTACTATCTAGTGTTCAGTTAAAGTATCTAGTACAGTCCTACAGAGGAAGGTCAATCTCATCGTTTGCTTCGAGACCCATTCACAGCACTTTTTCTATGATTCTCTAACCTCTATACTTTGCGAAAGTACAATTACTAGATTCCTTTCAGTAGTGTCGAAAAAAAGTCTTTTCGTTTACATCGATCCAATTGAAAATTGTTTGCCAGAAAAAAGCAAGCAGACAAATAAATGACAATCTACATCCATTATTTTACTATGGATCAACACCCTTATTATTTCACTCTTGAAATCTAAGAATTTTCAAAGATACAGGCCTATAACAGTCATGAATGCGGTTGATGTGCGTCAGTGGCACAGCGGTAGAATGCTCCTTAACCACGCCTCATCTAGTCCGGGGTTCGACTGCCGGCCGCTGACGCACTCCTTTACCTCGCTAAGCCAACGACAGGACTGGTAAAGAGGGGAGGTCAGGCATGAGGCTAGCAACCCCATCCTGTAAAAATAAACGGACCCTAACTTGAAGCCCTATGTTCCACTGGGAACGTGAAGAAATTTAAAAAAAAAGCGGTTGGTAAACGCTCGTCAACCATTTCTGACTTGATCCAGGGCTTGATCCTTGACCGGAGTTCCTACTCCTAAACCTCACAATTAGCTGGTGTTTTAAAGCCAGTAGAATGGGAATGTAAAAATTGAAAAACAAACCCACTGCTAACGAAACTCCGAAGCTCTAGGATGAAGGTATTTGTTTCACTCCGAACGTAAAGATAACAGTAATAAGGATAATAGTAATACGAAGTTAGCTGGTGGATGGTGACTAGCAGTGGAATCCATGACGCGCATTTCGTCCTTTTTGGGACTCGTCATCTGGATGAATTAAATAAATAATAGTAATAATTAAAGAAACAGGGATATCAGCGTATTTTCTCCTTCTCATTCGCCTATTATTTTCCGCGTATATCTAATTTAAAAGATGCTACTATCCAGGGAATTTAACTAACTCTAATTAGTTCTTATATCAGTGAATTAGTTCTGTGTTTTTTTTAATTCAACACAAACACACACACGCGAACACCACAAAAATAATGAATGATGAGGAAATTTATGAGGAAAAGCTCAAAACGGTTTTTAGGAAAAGAAAGCCCATTTCGCTTACTTTTAACACCATAGTTATATGTTTCAACTCTGAAGGTTCTATATTCAGCCTTGTCACCACTGGACTTGCACTGACAGCATGATCTGGGGAATTTCGTCGACTCAAACTTGTTAGACTCCAAAATATTCGTGGTGCAACTCGACCAGGTGAATCAGCCTCTGGCTTTTTGACACGAAATTGTAGTTTGTAGACTTCAGTTGCTGAACTGTAGTTGTGTTGAGTAAAACAAAATTAAATATATTCAAAAAAGGATTAGTAATTCCGAAAACAAAAAACAAGAACTGCGATCGGCTGACGAAAATTATTATTAAGATTATTGTTATTTTCAAGTATTAGTTTGTAGGGATTTGGTTGATTGGTTACAGGATTTCATCATGAGCTGACATTGGTTAGAGAACCATTGGAAAACCTGCAGGGAGTACTGAACAGCTATCTGTTTCGTCCTAGTTTGGGACTCTTCATCAGTAAGCACCCACCAGGGTTCAAACCCAGGACCTTCTGGTTACAGGGCGAGCAAGCTCGTTGACCATTAAGTCACTGGGACTTGATTCCATGGCCCATTTTCTTCAAGAAAACCACTGAAAACCTTTGGAGAGTATTAGACGGGTGTTTCTTACCAGTTTGAGACTCTTCAAGAGTAATTACCCGTGATTCCATTGGGGTACGTTCACAATGTGAGCTCACTGACAGTTCAGCTACTGGAAGAGAATCTGTTTATCTAGTGGCTATATTTAGTGCCACTGCCAGCATGGTGGGATAGAGTCAAAATTCTAAAATGTAATATAGGAAGGTGGAGAAATTGATTATTGAATCCTGACTGGTTCATCGAGTCTACACCCACCCAACACATGCAACAGAAATGACTCAATGCAAATACCAGATATATGGAAGATATTATCACCACCAGTCGTATCAGAGGAGGATAATAAATAATCTCAAAATTATATTTCAATTCAAGCACATCACAAAATTCTAACAAGCTGCTTATTATAACTATAAAAACACTCGTCTTATTTCCCATTTGATTGTATTTCATCAATAACACTCATATTATCATTTCTGAATGTACATTATCTCATATTGATTTTTATTCAAATGTCTAATCATCAATTTCACTCATTGAGATAAACGAAGCCAGAAAGTTGTGTGTGAGTGACTTGATATGATTACGAGCAATAGTTTGTGCTCGAGACGTGGTCATCGGTTAATATTACTGTACAACAACACTGTGTGAGTGATCAAAATAAATTCTTATCTATAATGGAGTTATACTATATCACAGTGCCCAAGTTTTATACTTATATCAATAATGCAGCAATTCTGGCTGGTACACTTCATGAAGTACTCAAAGTCAGAGAAAATAGATTTGTAAGAACAATAATAAGCAGAAATATGATGGAGAAAGAATAATGACATAAGATAGCAATAGGTATTTTTTGGATATGACAGATCCCAAGGAGTGGGAATGACTTCGAACCATTGGCTGTTAGAATCCTGATGACCCCAATCAGGAAGTCATCTAAACCTCCATGAGTGGTTCAGACTGACTGTCAAACATTTTATGAACTGACTTCATATTTTGGTTTGACCACTGCTCTTCACCAACCTAGTCCTATGTCAGCTTACATCGCCCGTTGTCGAGGAAGGCGATCGATGGCTAGGCATGTGTAGCATATGTCCTAACCATCCCCTCAATCGGTGTAACTTCACAACCTGATCTGTTGATTTTTCCTCCTTACTACCTAACACTCGACCGAAGCCTGAGTTCAATATTACTCACTCTATTATACAACCTGACATGGGAGATATAACCCAGACACCTATGATCAAAGTCGACTAGCCAGGCTTATCATGTTTAGCACTTTTAATGTCTATGTCTTGCTAACAGCCATAAAAGAGCACGGCATGAACTGCTGCTGTGTAGTACACACGTCATTTGATCGACAGCCAGCCTCATAACACGTCTACGCCAGAGATGATATAGGCTGTCAAATGCCACACAAGTTTTTTATCCATTCGTAAATTTCTTCAGCTATCGCTGCGTTGAGGCTGATACAACTTCCCAAATAAATGAACTGATCACCATTGCTCTGCTGGTAATGGGACACAAGAAAGACATGCTCCGATGAGAGCAGTCTAATTCCAATTTACAATTCAATGCCAGCTTCTAGCGGTTCTGTAGACAATCTCACTAACATTCAATATCATTGGTGTATATTCGACTTCACCTGCAGCTTAATGGACTACATCAGGCATGATGTTGAATCAGAGGCTGAATAAATTCCCCCTGCATGGACAGAAAAATCTTGAAACCTATGCATATGGCTCCAAAATATTTATTCACATAGGATTCCTTAACAGATTTTATCTCAGTAAAAATGCAGTAAGAAATACCAGCACGAATTGTTGCCATTATTCAGACAAAAAACAGTTAAGATCTCAGAATTAATTGTAATAAAAATGTAGTTAATATCATTTTAACGTCTAGTGTTCAAATTAACGTTGTGATTGACATATTTAACGAAATTAATGCAGTTAAACAAAAACTGATAGATAAGTTCAATCAACAGAAAGCAGAGAAATATAAAATATATGATTTAAAATGAATGCAACCTCATAAAAACTGTTTTTCCATGTGAAATATGAAAATAAAAATTAAAAGTACTTGGTGCCAGATTAATCTTAACACTACAAAGTTGTTTTCGTGCCCCAAATTTAAAAAAAAATCCCCTGGCGGTTCGTTTAAACCACTGGGCTACCAACTAGCTTTTTTTCTTCAATCCATCCATCTATCAAAATATTTCCTATTTACTATATTTCATATTGTTGTAGCCATCCGACTAAGTTCATAAATCGTAACCTACTCTCGCGCAAATTTTTATAAAGTCTTCAAGTTAATGCTTTGCATTTTTTGAAGGAAATGGTACAAGTAGTTTGAGAGGTGGTGCAACATTCTTTGGATGGAGCAATATTGCTTGGGCTTAAGTCAGTTCTTCTGTATCAGTCAGAAACTTGGTGTACGCATCATGAAAATCATTTCCAACAGCCAGTTGCAGACAAATCATGTTTAGGTCAAATTGCAGTATTAGACATCATCATCGAACAGGGTACAAAATGGCAATCAAAGCGCCACCTAAGCTACATCGACTTTGCAAAGGCTTCCAACTGAGTTGGCTGCAAATTAATTTGGAAAAAAATATTTTAACACTATGAAGTGCCTCAAACAAACTACAGACCTTCATTAACAGTTGTCTTCTCTCAATACTCAAGATAAGATGGCTAGCCAGAAAAGATCAGCAACAGAGATTTCTGGGAGCGAACCAACCAGGAACCGATTGTGAAACAAATAGGCAGGAAGAAATGGAGTTGGATTGGCCATACTCTGAGGAAACCATCAAGTAACATCACTAGACAAGCCATTGCTCGAGTGGAACCCGAAAGGGAAGCGGCGAGTTGGTCGTTAGTTCAAGGGTGACTTGGAGGAGGTCATGTGAAGAGGAGATGAAAGCATGTGGGCAGACTTGGAGCCAGGTGAAGACTCTAGCACGGCTGAATCCCTATGTTCCTCTAGGAATTAAAGGAAACAATATAATAATAATAATGAAGTGCCGCAAATATTTAGTAACCCCATTCAATAGATGCATGATAATCGCACACGTCACGTGACCCACAGTGGAAAACTCAGTGAAGCCTCTGAACGTGAAGACATGACTAAGACAAGTCTGTCTGCATACTCCCACTGACGATATTTCTAACTGTGGTGGACTGAATTATGCAGATCACTGTTGGTGAGGAGAGAGAAGACAGGAATACGCTGGACCACCGATAAGAAGACTCTAGAAAATTTGTACTTTAAGGACGACTTATATGTAATGTCACGTAAACTGGAAGAAGTATACGAAAAACCGCAACAAACTAAACGAAGAAGCAGCTAGCGAAGACAGGAATTCAATTGAGTAAAGAGGAGGTGGAGGTTATAAAGATAACCAGCATCAGTCACTATCAAAGTGGGGAAATTTGCAAAAGACCATTTTCTTCACTTACATAGGCATCATTATTTCAACTATAGGCAGTCAGCACCGATTGGGATGTCAAAACCATAATGGGAAAGGTAACACAGACCTTCACCACTTCCAAATCAGTTTGGAAATCACCTGATCTCAGAATAAACAGCAAAATTTGAAGTTTCAATACCAACGGTAAGTCAGTCAGACCTTCTGTATAGGTCAGAGACTTGGCGCGTGTGTGTGTGTGATAAAATTCAATATCAAAAAGCTTTTTTTCAAACTTTTGTCAAAAGCTACCTTTACTGAGACAAAACTCTAGGAACCAACCAACCAATAAACCACTGCTCAAAAAGTACTCCAAAACAAAATAGTCATGGATAAGTTACGCAATGACGAGACCGTCGGATGACATCGCGCTGTGGTATAGCGCTCGAATGGAACTCGAGTAGGAAATGGTGAGTTGGCCGTGTGCATGAGGGTGACATGGAGGATATCATATGAGTTGGAAGAGATGAGAGACAATGGGTAGTCGTTCGGCCAGCTGAAGAGAACTTCAGATGACGGGACAAAATGCAGACATTCTGTTAAAGCCTTCTGTTCCACTCGGAACCCAAGAGAATAATAATATTCATAATAAATTAAACAATAAAATAATTGACAGAAGACCAGTAAGTAGTTCAGTGAAGAGTCTCTTTTCGGCGAATTCATTTTCATAGCTGTACAATCGCAAATATTGTATATGGTTGTTTTGTATGTGTGTGTGTACATGAAATTTGACAAACGAATATACAATTAGTAAGCTTAGATGAATTGGTCGTTGATATAAGAGGGCAGTAACAAAAGTGATGAGTTGTCACACACGATTGTTAAAGAAAAGTTACGTGATAACATGAATAGTTTGATGAAAGAGTTGTGGTCAGGGTGAACATGGAAACAATTGTATGCTAGATGTGTGGACGACATTTTTATTATCTGTGATGATGGTCACGATCTTAATCAGTTACTACAAATATTCAACAATTGCCATCCAGCTACAAAGTTCGCTCTTGAAAGTGAAAACAAATCTAACATTCCTTTTCTTGATGTTGAACTTACAAGGAGAGCTGACGGAACTTTACGAAGGTTTATCCATTGGAAACCCACATGGAACGGCCAACTGACAAGCTTCTACAGCTGGGTACCAATCAATCGAAAAAGA